TCCCGGTGCCCCTGGTCTGCTGGAGACGGTCTCCAGCAGACCAGGGGCACCGGGAGCAGCTTTTCTCGCCCCGGAGGTCGAGGTGGCGGATCACTGCCTGCGAGCTCCGGGGCGAGAAAGCCCCGTGAGTAAGTCGGGGACTGCCTGTATATGTTTTGCTTTAAGCACATGAGCTCTGTGGTTGTGTTCATGTACTTAAATGCTTTCCTATATCAGGCTCTTTATACTGTCTCCAGCAGACCAGGGGCACCGGGAGCAGCTTTTCTCGCCCCGGAGGTCGAGGTGGCGGATCACTGCCTGCGAGCTCCGGGGCGAGAAAGCCCCGTGAGTAAGTCGGGGACTGCCTGTATATGTTTTGCTTTAAGCACATGAGCTCTGTGGTTGTGTTCATGTACTTAAATGCTTTCCTATATCAGGCTCTTTATACTGAGTTTAAAACAGAATATTGGTGAATCCAAAATTTTCCTTTTTGAGAACATTTTGCCACACTTTGGTAAGAAAAAAAAGTAAAACTAGTGTTCCAGAATGATATACCATTTAAGAAAAAAGACAAACTCAACACAAACTCAAAATGAAAAGGAAAGAGAATATCATTCTACAATTTATACTTGGAATATTTTGACAGTCTCTGCTAATTCCCATTGTTCTGTATGTAAATAGAAGGGGAATGTTTTTTCGACCATGATACATAGTCGCAGACCTATAATATCAGTGAGTGTACACTTTAACGTAATTATGTTACCAAATGTGAAATTAGGATTAAGGCTGGGATTCAAAGGAGCTTCATTGAGTTGTAATGGGATTTGGCTGCCTAACTCCCTTGTACTCCTATGAAAATCCCAACCTAGGTCACTGTACGTTTTTGGCTATAGCAAAGATGTTTACATTACCAGTGGAGTCATTTTCAATGTTTCTGTCTTTTTGAGGTACTAAAAGCTTTTTTATACATAGTACAAATCAGCTTTAATATGCAGGTTTTCTTTTTCTTCTGGCCACCTGCCCCATGCCTCACATTCAAGACCATTCTTCCTGCACAATAACTAGCCTAACACAAAGTTGTGTTGGCAGAGAAACCCAGCACCAAAAGCTCTTTTTTTTTAGTTCCCGTCCTAGTGCATATTCCTACAAATGCCGTAATGCTTAAAGATTGCCAGCTCCCTAATGGTCCAATTGCACTGAACGATTAATCAAATTAGTGGTGATAATTTGTTTTGTTTGTCAGTGACAATTTTTAGGTATCTGATGAATAAGTCTTATAGGAGCAACAGTCTGTTTTTAGAAAATGGTTATTTTTGCATTTAAGCTGCTTTCACTGAGATGGGTGAGAGCTGCAGGAAAGCATTGGGAGCCTGTCAGACTCCTCCTGTAAATACTTTTCAACACCGAAAAGAAAAAAGTACATTTCAGATGTTTTGGGTATATATTCCATAAAAACACGTTCTCCAAATTTTTTCTCAGATGTTGTTCATTTCAACCCCAACATGGAAATTATTTTCTTATAAATAAAATGTACATAGTCATGCCTTTCTGTCTTTTCGTGTGTTTTGGAAATTTCCTCTGAGGACTAAAGATGTATAAAAAATGTTATGTGGGAATATGCCTGGCCAAACAGTTTTTCCTAAGCTGATTGCATTTTCTTATATTTGCATTTATCTAAAAGTGTTTATAATCCTCATAAGCAGTTTGTTTTGGACAGTCTTGCTAGAAATTCACTGTCAGTAATAACTTACATTTACATAGTCATTGGCTCATAATGGAAACATTGTGTGAGTAACAGTTAAGACAAATGCTGTAATTCCTCTATGGGCCTATAAACTGGGGAATTAAAAAAGACATTCTTTGTGTGAAGGATACTTAATTTCACTTTTTCCCTCCTACCAGGATCCCCGATTCAATGCAGAAGTTGACCAAATCACAGGGTACAAGACACAGAGTATTCTTTGTATGCCAATAAAGAACCACAGGGAAGAGGTAAGCTGCAGTATCTGGATCGTCTTATTCAGTAGTGTTTGTGACTGTTAATTTCTTTAAACTGTTTTCAGCTGTAAATCATTTCACAGTAGAGAAAAAAATTAAATGTTTTCTCTGTATATCATTCCATGAAGTGTAATTTTATCTTTTCTACTTCACTGATGTTGACCAGAGTTAAGAACAGCTTATACCTACCTATTTTTTTAAAAAAATGATGTTTCTATTTCCCATTACAAAAAGGATTCTGCTTTTCTTCTATACCAAAAACTCCAGAGTTCATTCAGTAAAATCTTTAGGAGTTTTGCATGTGGAAAAGAAACAGGAACAAGAGTAAAAATAAAAAAGAGATTTTTCCAAACTATTGTAGCATACATGATAAACAGGTATCTTTAAACACATATAATACATGCCAGTAATGCCCAGTAACTTCAGACCTAATTACAGTCTGACTGATTGTTACATCCATTGAAATAAGTCACGAGAAAGAACTTTTTCCTGCAGAAACTTATGATTATCTTATTTTGAGTGAAAGATGATCCTCCTTTTCCCTCTTTTCTGAATTTAAGATGTTCCTCAAATGTTTTACTATGGTTTTTCACAATGCATACATATCTTATCTTTAAATGACACTTTTTCAGTCTTTACCACTATATAAAATAACCACGACATTCTACCAAACACCTTGCAAGTTTAAGTTACCAAGTGGAGGCTCCCTTTCATGGATCCAGGGCAACATTTTAAAAATTATGTACCTGATGTTAGTCACCTGTATTCACATTTTGATACCTAAATTAAAATGATGTGATTCAGAGAATTTGATCATCCCCTGCCCACATTACCCCTAACTGATCTATACTAGAGTGAATGTGATTAGAATTAGGTCCTCAAGTTCTGTGCACAGCTCTCCCTTCCAATCCTATTGTCACTTTTCATAGCAATACTTCTTTATGGTCTGATCCTGCTACAACTAGAATCAAAGGAGTTTTGCCATGGACTTCAAAGCATGCTGGGTGGCAAGAGGAAATTCAAAAATGAGAAATTTAGTGAGGAATGACATCATACTGAAGACAAACATCATCACCCATCTGAGTATAGTAAGTTTGGCTTCCTTCTGACACTGGTGTAATTTAGGAGTGACTCCAATTAAAAACAGTGCAATTACACCAGTGTAGAATTAGTGTAAGTGAACAGAAGATTGGGCTTGTTGTGTTTTTATGTTTTGCCAATAACTGGATGGCTGTGTCTACGCTGGGCCACTTATTCCGGAAAATCAGCCGCTTTTCCGGAATAAACTGCGAGCTGTCTACACTGGCCCTTGAATTTCCGGAAAAGCAACGATGCTCTACTGTACAAAATCAGCCACTATTCCAGAAAAACTATTCTGTTCCCGCTCGGGCATAAGTCCTTATTCCGGAAAACTGTTTCGGAAAAGGGCCAGTGTAGACAGCCCAGTAGTCTTTTCCGGAAAAAAGCCCCGATCGCGAAAATGGGCTCTTTTCCGGAAAAGCGCATCTACGTTGGCCACAGATGCTTTTCCGGAAAAGGTCTTTTCCGGAAAAGCAACCTGCCAATGTAGACACTCCTTTTCCGGAAAAACTGAAAACGGAATAGTATTCCGTTTTAAGCATTTCCGGAAATTCATGCCCGTGTAGACACAGCCGATGAGTTTCTTGAAGGTGGAAGGAATAAGACTCAGCCTCTTACTGTCCATGCTTTTCAGGATGTTGGCACAGCATAGACTGACCAACAATGCCCCAAAATTTTCAGTCAGGGATTTGTTGTCCATCAATTCTTCCTTTTTCAGCAGAGTTCACAGCTTATACTATTAAAAATTGCTGCAAAACCTGATTTGAAAATACCATTTCCCCTTCTTTCTAATCCTCTATTCTTCTGATCCTGTTTGGGGTGGGCGGGAGATATCAATCTCTCATACTTAACCCCAGTTCTCATGTTTACTTTGATGTATCTCATCCATTTGGTTCTGATTGTCCTGGCTGACCCAGTGATAAAATGTGGGATCTATCTCTTGCTTCTCCTCCATCTGACTTTCTTTCATTTTTTTTCACTGCTCCCGTCTCGTAAGGAACGTTTCAAATTTATAACCCACCATCTCACACTGATTATGCTGATGATACTGTTCTCCCAGTCAGACATTGCTCCCACTTCAAAGTGCCTCCCCGTGTCAGTTGGCTGTAGCTGCAGCTGGCCATGAGCCAATCAGTGAGCAAGCAGAACACTGTGTGCAGTGATGTCTGGCTGTGGAACAGTGATGGGTGTATGATTGATGCAAAATGGAGGGTCTATGTTTTGTCCAGGTCACTTGCTTTCTGTATGTGCATTGGAAAAACACAAGAATGCTCTAAGCCAAGAACTTGGAATCATAAATTCATGACAAAATTCAGCTGGACACAATACATGGGTGTGTCTTACTCTGGTCAGACACGAGAAAGAATTAAGTACATGTATCCTCTGCTCATATACACCAGCACAGACTTATTAGGCTGAATGAACCTGTAGTAGGCAATTTGCAGATCCTGAAAAAATTTTTAACTGGGTTTCTCCATGTAAGTGCAAGAGGAGTTCTAGGTGAAATAAAGCAGGCACCTTTTTATTATAAAAATAGAAAACAAACTAGGAAATTAACAAATTGGCAAAGGCTAAAAAGGGAGGGTGGAAAGGATGTGTTACTCCTATGTATTGTAAACTGGAGGATCTAAACTATGGAATTTCTCTTAGAGCACTCTTTTGTTATTTTAAAGTCTCTTACCAGAATGTTCTCATCGCCCTAAGTGTAATGCTCTGCTGACACTTTTCTGGAATAAGATTTAATTCAGTGAGTCAACCCCTACATTATCATTGGCTTTCAGCTAGTTTTTTTTTTAAAGCAACCCCACATACCAACAAAAAACTCACCATGGTTTCACCATGCCTCCCCAACCTAAAAAACAAAACACAGACCAAGCCTTTGCAATAATACTGTATCCAACAGCTAAGGAAAACCTGCCCTAATCCAGAATTTCACTGGTCAGAATCCAAATATATAGCCAAAAATGTCAGACACACATCTGAAAGTAAATACTTAGAAAGAGAAGCAGGTCTCTTCTCCTTAAAATTTAGCCCCTAGAAAATAAATATGATACATTTGTTGTTTTACATTTCTGTTATTTTTAAAGTAAAAAAGTCAGTGTTGGATTTGCAGAAATATCATGGTTAAATATCGAACCTTTGGACCATCTAGGGAATGAAGTAGAGTAGGGGGGTCTCAAACTGCCAGCTCATGAGCCATCCCCAGATTGTGCAATCTGACCTGGGACTCCTGGGGGCTGCCCCTTCCTGCTCTTGTTTTGCCCTCTCCCCCCATGGAATCTGGTCCCTGAGGGCACAGTTTTGGAGAGCGCCTGGTGCAGCATGGTTGCAGGAGCAGCGGGGAAGCGGAGCACAATGCAGTGGAGCTAGTGCACCATCCCTACAGCTCCTGACACCACGGGGAGTGCAGAGGATGTGACTACAGCCTTTGTCCCACACCAGCGCCTCCCCCCAATGATTCCTGAAGCTACATCCTCAGGTATGGGGTGCCATAGAGAGGAGAGGGTGGAGCAATGGCAGTAAGGGACACAGCTTGGGGCTATTAACGGACAAACCCCCATCTGCCTGCCAGGAGTCCAGGGCCAGATTGCACAATCGCTCCATCTGGGCATGGCCCAGGGTTGGGACTTTGAGACTCCTGAAGCAGAGATTAAAAATAGGTTCAGATTTTGTCTACACTTTCATGTGGAACCTGAGCTGAGGAGCCTTAACACCCAAAGAGGAGTAAGCTCTTCAAGAAGCAGATCCCACTGAGAAAGACTAATGAATCTGTTGTGGTTTTAACCAACCAACAGCACCAATATGCAAGAGCAAGAATCTCCTCCTGCAATGAGGAGTGAAGGTAGTTCGAATTAGGAGCTTTAATTCGAACTACCTAGCCCGTGCCGCGTGTAGCTGCGGGCAGGTAGTTCGAACTACGGGGCATTTAAAAATGGCGGCATCCGGGAACATGCAATTAAAGCCTGGGATATTTAAATCCTGGGCTTCATTTGCAAGTTCGAATGACTACATTAGCCACCCTAGTTCGAACTAGGGTTGCAGTGTAGACATACCCTTAGACACACAAAGAATGGAAGTAGATATGTTAATAACAAAAAGGAAACTTACAAAGCTTCTTTTCTACTTATTAATTGTTGCTGAAAGAGCCAATAGAAACTAGGCATATCAGGCCCATGATTGGATAGCACTGTTGTATGTACTCTTCATATTTACACAGTGCTAGCTCTGTTTGTGACAAGCTGTTTTCCCCATGAAGAATTACAGATGCAAGTTGGCTTCTCTTTAAGTAGGACTTGAAGGGATTTGAATCAAGTTCTGATATCTGCAGGCCACTGCTGCACAATCTCCCGTAACTAAATGGAGTCTCTGTCCCATCCTACACAAAAACATTGCCCCATAGTTTGCTTTGGCATTCCAGGATATGACATCTGATGCTTATAACTATTTAAAAAATCAAGAAGAAAGAAAAATGAGAAACTTGACTCTTACTCTACAAAGAGAAGAACAAAATGATCATGAGAGAATCTGTTTCAAACTATTTTTGTATTCAAAACCGTCATTCAAAGCTGTTAGAAACATGCCATTTGGTTCCTTCTGGGCTTTTCCTTCTGGTAGTTCCCTAATTAATAACTCCATACCCTCTTAGGCTATGTCTAGACTGCAAACCTCTTTCGAAAGAGAGCGTCTAGACTGCACGCGGAACTTTCAAAAGAGCAAGCCGCTTTTTCAAAAGAAAGCACCCAGTGAGTCTGGATGCTCTCTTTCAAAGAAGCCCTATTTACATTCAAGAACGCCTTCTTTCGAAAGAAGCACTTTCAAAAGAAGGCGTTCTTCCTCGTGAAATGAGGTTTACCGCCGTCGAAAGAAAAGCCGCGTTCTTTCGATTTAATTTCGAAAGAACGCGGCTGCAGTCT